TATTTTTATTGTAATTATTCTTTTAGTGTTTTTAAGTTGCAAAGTTAACTCAGTATGTTTCTCTTCAGTTGTTATTTTTAAATGAAAAAATTTGCAGAATGGAAGGATTTTCCCTACTATATGTCAGTCACCTAATTGCACGAATGCCTGTAAAGCACTCAGGAGCAGAAATGATTTCCTTTCATCCATTTTCTGTCTTTTGTTCTTTGTTCTCCTTGGAGGAAGCCTGGAAAGAGAAGGAATACATACATACATACATACATACGTATACATGTGTATATGTCTGTATATACATATGTGTATATTACACATATATGTGCATATGTAAACATGCATGTATACATACACACATATTCCATAAAGGTGTCCCTTAGCTTTTCTGCTTAAGGCTAGTGCTGTACCATCTGAACCACATTTCTACTATTTTTGCTGGCTAATCGGAGAGGAGAGGCTAATGGACTTTTCTGTCCAGGCTAGCTCACACCAGATCATCAGATCTCAGCCTCCTCAGCTAGCATTACAAGTATGGGTCACTAACACCTGGCTTCAGAAACCATTTTAATGCCAACAACAATTAGAACAAGGTGGCATAAATACCAACAAAACAGTTATAACTAGTGCATGAGGAAAAATTCAAAAAAATATGAAGCTACATACAAGGTAAAGAAAAGCACAAGAGAGGTGTTAATGTGGCTCAGTTTTCTAGTAGCTGACCTGTGAAGGAATATATATCAATACCATTTATAATGATGTAAGCCAAGCCATTTATTTGGAAAGTAACAACTTATTTTTGGAGGTAGTATGGGATTTTTTCCATAAGACTTTTCATAATCTAATGAGGCAAATACTGTTTTTCCCCTTGAAAAGTTTTAAGAAGAGTGCTGACTTCTAACCACTGTTGCAGCAGAGATAAGGTTCAGTTGGAATGAAATATTTCCTGGCTTAAAAACATGCCAATGGTAAATGCACATAATCTCCTATCTCATCATACTACATTGTTACATAGTTGGTGTTTATGACCTAATCAATGAATAGATGTGTGATGTGGGAGGAATGAGGCCTCTCTGTGTGTCCTAAAACTCATCTCTCCTCAGAGATGGGTGATGTGCAGTATGGTGATAACAAGGCTGGCAATACGCAAAACATGAAGCAGCTGTTTGCTGGAGATTCCTCACATTCACCTTGCTCAACTCCTTTTTGCTCATTTCCACAACTTGCTGGACTCATCAGAAGCCTCCCTGTGCTCTCTACAACCAAGAACCTATAACCGTTTTGCTATTGTTTTGGGGACTTAGCTTTCTGGGAACTCCAGAAAGGATGCCATGGTTGATTAGCTGCTAGGTAACTATGCACAGGCAGTGTGTCAATGAGTGCCTAGTATTTGTCAACTTTGACATACACTGAAAGCCATTCTGCCAGGCCCAAGACAGATCTTGAGTAAGACTTGCTATGGTAAAGAACTTTCCCCTTTCCTTCATTTATTAAATATAAATCTGTTGTTTACTACTTAGAACTATGCTCTTGGAATTATGGGTTAATTCAACCAAAGTGTGAACTTCAGTATGGGGTTAGGAAGTGACTTATACTCAAGGTTCAACTTTCTGGAAGGATATATGCTTTTAGTCTCAGCTTCCTAAGAGATTCCTCTGTTTAAGGACTGACCAGGGCAAAAGATGTAACTATGAAAAACAAACTAATGCAAAAATGGCTGCAGGTGTTGCTCAAGTGTGGCAAGCTCTAGGTTTTGCTCAAAATCAACATCTACCCCCGTCTTTTCCAAAAAAAGGAAAAAAGAACTAAAGTTACTAGATAATAAGCAGTCTATATTCACCTCCCCCCCCCAAAAAAAGCAGTTCTTTAAGAGCTGTATAAATCTATAAACCTATGGAAAATGAAGACATCTACCTGTTGATTTTTTTCTCCCTGCTACTATAGTATGGAGGTCTTGAATTCAAAGCCTTTTGCTCTTGCTTAGCTATTTCACTCAAAACTGGAACTCTATTATTTGAACCACACCTCCATTTCAGACTTTTGGTGGTTAACGAGGTAAAAGTCTCATACACTTCCCTGCCTGAAATAACTTTGGACTGAGATCCTCAGATATCAGTCTCCTAAGTAACTAGGACTACAAGCATGAGCCACCAAAGCCTGGCTTTATTTATCTTCTGTCGCACCAAGACAAACCCAAGTAATTATTTATTTTAGTTTGTCTTATAAAGTTTATCTACTTGAGCCAGGTGCTGGTAGCTCATGCCTGTAATCCTAGCTACTCAGGAGGCCGAGATCTGAGGATCGCAGTTCAAAGCCAGCCTGGGCAGGAAAGTCTGTGAAATTTGTATCTCCAATAAACCACCAGAAAACGGAAAGTGGCTCTGTAGCTCAAGTAATAGAGTGCTAGCCTTGAGCTGAAGAGCTGAGGGACGGGGCTTCAGGCCCAGAGTTCAAGCCCCATGACGGACAAAAAAAAAAAAAAAATTATCTACTTGAAAGCAGAGTCTATACCTTTTGTTTATATCCCAAATATTTATCACAGTGACTGATAAAAAGTTCATCCAAGAAATGCTTAATGGTTTGGTGATATTTGAAAAAAAACTTTATAAAACTAAGTAAACATAAGCCACTTGACATAAGCATGTAGAACTTCACTGTGTTTTTCTCTTAAGGGTCTGGGAGTACCTGCCAGTGGCCTTAACAGCCCTAAGCAATCAGAACTAGTCCATACAGACAGCACAATGGCTGAATGTTGATGTATCTTACACTTTCATCTTTTTGGAAGCGTCCGCATCCCAAAGGCCTTGGCTTTCCTTTGGATCTTCTAGTGATCACTGCCATACATTGCTCTTCATGTACAGCATTCCTGATCCCGGCAGCCAATACCTGCAAGAAAACCAAAATACTGGATATTTATTCTGTAGCATATTTTTGATGTATCCAACTGCTCCAGGCTTGCGGAGTTACTGAGATGTTTTGTACCAGGCACTACATGGGCTAGCTGATTAACCTGTAACCTTACATGTCAATCGAGGGGGTACTATTTTCTGTGTTGTACTGGAGAGCTCTGCAGGAAAAAATGTAAAAAGGAGTAACAGGGTAGTTTGTCCCAGGACACAGAGTGCTAGTGCTTACTCACTGGCATGCGCTGCCTGTCTCCTTCAGATGCAAACTCTTATCACTCTGCTGTGCTGCCTCTAATGTAGCTACTAATGGCTTCAGAGGCTGTATTTCTCCTTTGAGAAAGAACAAAGATTTTACAGCTTATTCTGCTTTATTACAAAGTTTCTTTTACTTCTGTAGTTTCCCAGCTTTTAACTTGTTTCTTTGTGAGCTTGTGTTGGTAATGAGAACTCTCTGTAGTAGTTATATTTGTAAAATACACTAACAAAATGGAATTTGAAAGGCTGAGCATACTGTAAAAGGGACTGTTTTAGCAAATTTAAACAAGATGGTAAGAAATCAAATCAAACTGCACATTAAACTTTAAATAAGTAAATGTTTGATTTAAAAGATATAGCTCCCCCCAAATGAGCTATTTACTTTTACTTCTAGCTTAACCAAGCCTACTTTTCTAATTTATGACTTTTTGTATGTGTTTCCCTTCACAATAGATCTCCAACATGACTAAATTTTAGCACATCAGTTATGCTTAAGTGTTTTAATATACAATGAATAAAAGAGCAGAAAACAAAGTGGCAAAGTTACAAGAAAGAAGAAATTAAGAGTACTTCAGAACACGAGTTTTTCACACTTGTTTCCTATTAGTACACAAAAGCTACTAGTAGGTGGAAAGGCATATATTAACCACAGCTGGAATTGCTTGAAGTTATATTCTGAAGAGTTGAGACACTCAGGAACTGACAATGTGAGAAAGGCAAAAGCACTGTAATTCAGAGGGTGCACAAAACTTCGTAAAGCTTCAGTTATAAAAAGTGAGGATGTCAATCTTTTATTTGCCAAGGAGATAAGGGGAAACATCCGTGCAATAAATTTCATAACAAGATTCACACTTCATTACAAGTGATTTTCCCTAATTCACAACTTCCACATTTGACTGAACTAAAAAAAAAAAAGCAAAAAGCAAAAACTAAACAAAAAACCCACCAAGCCAAGATCCCTGAAAAAGGAACTTTCACTAAAGTCAGTCAAGTTATATGATGCTTCCAAGAGTTTTCAAGTAAGTATACTTAAAAAAAAAAAAAAAAAAAAAAAGGCTGGGAATGTATTTTACTTTGGTAACTTAAATAATGTACCCATGGAAATGAATATGCCCTTCAGTTAGGTTAAGAAACTTTCTGAGCCTTCTTTACAAGAATTAAACAAATTATGGAACATATCTGAAATTGTTTCTTGATTAGCCTTAAAGGGTAATTTTTTAAATCCACTGTATTTTCCTCTTTCAGACCTTTAGCTCCCAAATGTTACCTTTTGTATTTTTTACTTAATGATTAACATGTTCAACGACTTGAGCACCTGTGGAAGTGCAAAAGAGTACTTCAACTATTTCCTCAATTCCTTCTTTTTGTGAGCAATAGTTCTCTTAGAAAATGAGCAACAAGTACCACGGGGCAAAGGTCCCTAGCACTGAAATTCATACTGTGGAGAGATATTAAGTCGGAGTGTACGTTTTTGGAACCTAATAGAACTCTTTCTTTCACCTTTCTCCCCAGCTGCACACTGAAATAAGGTATGAGGTGCGAGTTGTGCAAAAACCATTTATAAATTGATACTGTCATCTTTCTCTCTTCTTCCCCTAGTGCAACACCAAAATCGGAAAGACAAGTGCTTGGTTACCATAAGCTTTTGAAGCTAAGCCCATGAATAACCACACTGTGAAGGTCATTGGAGATGATCGGGGAGGTTGGGGGGGTGGGGGGGAACCGCTGTTTAAATAAACATTGCCAGAAGACCCTCCTCAAACGGAGACTGAAAAAAGTCATTTTCCCTCCCCAGGAACCACGAGGGAAAGCGACAGAGAGAACGTCCCCTACTTGCACAAGGGATGTCCCTTTCTCTTCTGACCACCCCAGCCTCTCAGCGGCAAGCAGGCCGAGGCCGGCTGAGACGGGCGGGCGGCCTGGGAGACAAGGCTCAGTCCTCCATGGCAAAGTCTTTGGTCTTTTCCTCCTGCTCTCCCACTTTGTAGCGCAGCAGCACGCGCAGGCGACGGGGGTTGTCCCGGGAGGGCAGCAGGGTGAGCTCTCCGGAAATGTCCGTGTCTTGCTCCACCGGCACGGGCTCGTCCAGGTAGAGCAGCGCCTGTTTCCAGTGCGTGGCCGGGTGAAAAGGCGAGGTGGACAGCACCAGGGGTTTCTCCGAGTCCCCCCCGGGGAAGGTCACCTGGAACCAGATGGCGAACCCGTGCAGGGGCGCCGAGCCGTAGCAGCTGAAGCGGAAGCGTCCCCCGATCCCGGCCTCCAGCTCCTGCTCCAGGCCGGCGCGGGCGAGCTCCAGCTGGGCAAAGCGTTCGGGCCGGGCCAGCACGTCCTCGCCGGACAGGCCGTGCACCACGATCTCCGCGTGACCCATCAGGCAGCGCGTGGCGAAGCCCTCCAGGCAGCTCATGTCCACGCCGTAGTACTGCTTCACCTGGCTCCAGAAACCCAGGCGCAGTTCCAGCATCTGGTCGCTGATGGGCGCGACGAAGAGCTCGGCGGAAGCCGGCAGCAGCAGGCCGCCCTCCTTCAGCCACTTGGTCCGCGCGTGGAGCACCGAGCTCAGCATGGACTCGTGCAGCAGTCCGTAACCCATCCACTCGCTCACGATGGCGTCCACCTGCTCGGGCAGCTCCACCGTCTCCACGGGGCCCGGCAGGACGTGCACCCGCTCCTCCAGCCCGTTGAGCCGCACCACCTCCCGGGCCTGCTGCCAGATGGAGCTGGCCTCCACGGCGTAGACGCGCCGCGCGCCGGCCTGCGCGCAGAAGACGCTGAGGATGCCGGTGCCCGCGCCCACGTCCAGCACCGCCTTGCCCCGCAGCCAGGCCCAGTTGCGCAGGATGCCCAGGCGGTAGGCCTCGGTGCGGACGCGGTCGGCCAGCATCTCCTCGTGCACCGACACGTCCGAGTAACACTCGTAGTACAGCTGGTCGCGCTCACGTTTCGTCCGGCGCGGCGCCGCCGGCACCACCCCCGACTCGCCCTCCCCGCCGCGGTCCTCTTCGCCCTCCTCGGCTCCTCCGCCGTCCTCCGACTCTAACCTTCTCTTCTTAGTCTGCGACATCTTTGGCCCCGGCGACCGGTTCCCCCACCCAGCAGGCTTGGCGCGGCGCGGTGCGGAGGGGGTGGGGAGGAGGAGGGTGGGGGAGGGCGGTGGGAAATGGCGACGCGCGGGGGCTGCTGGGAGTTGTAGTTCTCACGCTCCCAGGAGGCCTCCTGAGCTCCACGTGTTTCCAGGATGATGGAATGAATGCTCTTTTGTTCCCCTAGGAATCCTGGCGTGTCCTAACGACTTCCATCTCTGGATGGTTGTGGGTGACCAGGCTCCCTAGGAGCGGGGGTTTAGAAATTGTTTGCACGTTGTTTTGAGATACCAAGATGGTGTAAATGACGCAAAATTAACCTTAACAATGCAAAGTCTTAGTCTGGTTCGAATGTGACCATTAATAAACTGAATGGGTTAGGATCACATAGTAGAACTTCAATGAATTTCAGGTGCGAACCCACCAGCACCCAGACATCTTCATTGCAATTGCAGAATTACTTTTCTGGTCTCTAAAAAGAACAGTTGATATGATGGAGAAATAAGAGATGAATTATAGTATTTGACTGGAACTGTATAAAGTGGACGATGAATTTAATGATATGATGAGGAATTAGAAATGAACTGTAGTATTTGACTTAAACTGTGAAGTGAATGATGAATGGAGTAACTAAGCTTCCTGTGGATATGACTTTCTTGGTACCTGACTAGTTATTTTAGCTTTTGTAACCCTACTACTGCTCCTTCCTGAACCACGTGTGCCCCAACTAAGCTGAGCCATTAACAGACTTTGTTGTGTTCCTTAAGCTTCACTCCAAATCCGGATGCACTTCCAGTGAATGGTATCCTTGGGTGGGAAGCTCATACTTAAAACTGGCAGAGTCGTTGGTTGGAATCTAAAACAGCTTTATGACGTATGATTGTACTTCCCCTTCTCCACTCCCCCTCCTTCCCTGCCCTTGCCCAGTAACATTTGAAAAGCCGAAGCCCACCTTCTCATGGGAACCTTTCCTCAGGTGCGGTTCTGATACATCAGTGCTCCATCGCTCAATAAAATCACCGCAGTTTTAATTGCGGGTTGTGTGGTCTCGCCGTTGCTGTACCCTCACTACACAGTTAGTTGGCCCTGAGTTTTGCTTGCTCTGAAAATTCTGTGACTCAGCCAAGAGTTTTTATTCCAGAGGAGGGCAAACTCAAGAACAGATTAAAAAGTGATAGTGGTGTGACACACTCATTGCTTGTGAATTCTGGTAACTGATTATATTACTCTGCTTTAGGTGTTTTGTTTTTCCTCCCATGAATGACTGTCATCCCTTTAATTTAGTTTTTTAAAACAAAAAATCTTTACGTCGCTGTAAAAAAGGGTTTCAATTCAGTTCAGTTGAGTACAATGCATCTTGATTAATGCCACTCCTCCCAGAATTTTGCCACATCTCTCCCAACCATACCCATCTCCTCAAGTTACCTAGTTCCATATTGACATATGCATATTGAAAATTATGTCTGCTATGCCTGTATTCACCCACTCTTACTCTCTCCATTTGTCTGTCCTTTTCAAATATACCTTACCCCCACTGATAAAACATGTTCCAGCTTTCCAGTATTTTGTTAAGTTGTTTAAAAGAGTTAAACACCCTTGAAATCTTTTCTTGTCAATTAGTTTGTATATCTATGTAAATGACCTTGTTTATATTTTCATTTATGTTTATAATTTAACTTCCACCTCCGACAGAAAGCATGTACCTTTTGTCTCTCTGTCCATCATTTCCCTGAAAAATGATACAATATTGTTCTTCCTAATGGATGAATAACGTTCCATTGTTAATTAGTAAGTTTTTTTAATTATGAAAATACTGTACAGAGGGGTTACAATTACATGGGCAAGGTAATGAGTACATTTCTTATCATTTGTTGCCTCCTCTTTTGTAAAATTCCATTGTGTTGTACGTGTTTGTATCACTTTTTTTTTGATCCATTCATTCATTATAGGGTTCATCCTTTTGCTTTTTTTCTTCTTTCAGTCACCCATCAGCTATTATAGTACATTTTGAAATGCATGATGTGCATAGGAATGTGTTTGCTTTCTTTCTTTCTTTCTTCCTTCCTTCCTTCTTTCCTTTCTCTCTCTTTCTTTCTTTCTTTCTTTCTTTCTTTTCTTTCTTTCTTTCTTTCTTTTTTGTTGGTCATGGGGACTGAACTCTGGGCCTGGGCGCTGTCCCTCAGCTCTTCAGCTCAAGGCTAGTGCTCTACCACTTGAGCCACACTGCCACTTCCGGCTTTTTTTTGCTTATGTATTGCTGAGGAATTGAACCCAGGGCCTCATGCATGCAAGGCAAGCACTCTATCACTGAGCTACCTTCCCAGCCCATGAATGTGTTTTCTCCTAGCTTAAAAAATAGTCACACAGATGAAAATAAACTTTTTCTTACTTATGGTCTCAAAATATTGCTGTTAACTGATGGCTGTAGTATATTCTTTGATAATAGAACTTGTTCACACCATTTTCTATATTAATATTTTATTAACACGATAGGAGATATATATCCTGAACTGTATTTTTGACTCAAAATTCTCAATCCTGGCTGCTCATTATAATCCTTGAGGGAGCTCTTAAAAAATACTTATGCTTCTGTCCACTTCAGACCAATTAAGTCAGTTACTCCAGTGGAACTTGGGCATTCAGATTTTTTTTTTTACAGTTCCTTAGGGAATTCTAATGTGCAACCAGGTGGGAAGTTTTTCTTGCTGAAATTGTCCTCATTAAATATTGTTCCACTATTTCCATTAGATAAGTCCTAGTATTTTAGAAACAAGACTAAAAGCCCATGAAACAAGTCTTCACTTTTTCTGCGCTAGTTCCACACTTCGTTTAAAGAAATTGAGTCCAGAGTAGAATGTGAAATTACATTTGTATATGTGACTACTTTCATCTATTACTTTTAGGCTATTACTTAGTGGACATTTCTCCCATTCTCTCCTCAAAATATAATTTCCCCCTTTAAATATGTTTACTTGTATACTCAATTTTCTTTCTTTCTTTTTTTTTTTTTTTTGTCAGTTGTGGTGGCTGAACTCGGCCTGGACACTGTCCTTTAGCTCTTCAGCTCAAGGCTAGCACCCTACCAGTGGAGCCACAGTGCCACTTCTGGCTTTTTTTTTCTGCATATGTAGTGCTGAGGAATCGAACCCAGGGCCTCATGCATGTGAGGCAAGCACTCTACATCCCAGCCCCTGTATACTCATTTTTCAATTGAGAACTTTGTGGTCCCTTCTAAGAAAGTTCTAAATATAAGTTTTGCTGACTCTTAACTGCAAATTATATCTTGAATTCATCTTTTCTCTATTTCCTTGTGTACACCCTAGTTTAATTCTGCTCTTGCCTCAATAGCAGTCTTCTAAAGGGATCTTGTAGCTTCTAATCAAACCCTTATTTAATCCTTTTATCACGTAGCCTCAAGCATTACCTTACACAAGAAAAAACCAAACCAAACCAAAAACCAAGTAGAGACCACTTCATTCCAGGGCAGTTTCCCTTTCCAGTTATAGAAACCAAATTCACATCAGTGTTCCCAACTGAACATTCTCAAGATATGCTGGCCTTCTCAGATCACACTTCTCTCCTGCATCAGCTTGGCACTTCTATGTGACCAAGTCTGGAAAGTAGTTTTAGGATTGTGCATTAATGACTTCTCATTATTTAGAGCTCAACTTAAGTATTACTTCCTGTCTAGTTTAATCTAAGCTAATGCAATCCAAACACTATTGTTTTCCTCCACAGCTTCTATTATCATCTATATGTATTTTATTTGATTTTTGTACAATATATATTCTAGGCATCTTTTGTGTACCCAGTATTGTAATTCCTAGTGATAAAATAAACTCGGAAAGTGCCCAGTTAAATAATCTTGGACAAAGAATATTGTAGTATGCCAATTGTGATTTGGAGTTAAGATTAGAGTTTTGATTTTTAAACTATTTTTCTTTATTATTGTTGTACTGGGTTTTGAACTCAGGACCTCGCATTTGCAGGGGCTTTACCATTTGATCCCTAGTCTCAGCCTCCTTTGCTTTAGTTATTTTATAGAATCTCCAATGGTTTTTTGCTTAGCATCAACCTCACACAGATTCTCCTATGTGTGGGCTCCAGCACAGCTGGGATCCTAGGCATGTACCAGCCCAACTAGTTTAATGGTTGAGATAAGAGTGCTTCTAACTTTTGGCCAGCATTGTTCTAGAACTGCAATACTCTAGATACTGCAATCCTCTAGATCTTCACCTCCCCATTATCTGGGATCACCATATCTTCTTGAGTTTTGCCAGTGTGATTCCGGTAAACTCTGATCTAAATTCAAGTATAGTTTCAATTTAGAAGGTGTGCAGAAATGAGAATATTTTCACTTTCAAGAACTCTTTCAGAAAGCATAATGATTAACAAAAAACGTAGCCAGAACTAAGAAGAAAATACCTATGGAACTTTCCTTCCCCTACTTTGGATTGGTATAGACCATCACACTGAATAATTTTAAGTTGGAAAGGGACTCTACTCATAGTCTCCGGAGACTTGCAACTCAGCAGTACCCTGCTTGATGTAAGAAGAGCTGAAGCTATACTGGTAGAGCCTTACTGGTATTTCCCATTCATTCATAAACTCACCACATCCTTTCATACTCAAACCCCATGTTCTTCACATGAAGGAATCTTGAAATGGGCTTCAATACACCTTGACCTACAATAAAATTGTAACTCCTCTGTACAGTATTTTTACAATAAAAAAAATAAAAGAGAGACAGAATAGATTAGAAAATATCAGCTTTATCAAATGAATAAAGATAGATTTTGGCTTACAAAATTTATTTCAGATAAGTGTTCTAGGTGTGTATTTTTTTGTTGCAGGTTGGGTTAAAAACATTGATATCCACAGCTTATTAATGTCAAAAAATACCACAGTTTGATATTTTTACACTGTTCCTTTGGGGGCTAAACCTTTTTTTGTCCTCACATCATCTTTTTAAAAATATTTTTATTGCAAAGATATTGTACAGAGGGATTATAGTTACA